GGTGAATCAAAGAAAAAAGAGGACTAAGTGAAAGTAAGAAAATCTGTTGCCCGCATCACACAAGTTTCATTATTTCCTCTACTTTTAACAGAAATTATTGTTTAACAATACTAAGCTATAGCAAAAAGTTTTTGATCAACAATATTAGAGATTATTGAAATTGTTCCACTGATCTACCTTAAGCCGGTTTACATTGCTTTAGTTTATCAAATAAATCGTACTCAAATCTTTTCATTGATCAATTTTCAGGAATATAAATCTAGTTCATTTTTTTTTGGTTCTTCATGAACATATGTAAAGACATAAAAACGTTTCTGAAATAGATAAGAGAGTCGTGTGAGTGGAAACACCAGATGTTTTTTTATTGTTATGTTGTATCACCAATATTGCAGTATTGTAACCCTATTGTTCTTCTGCTTTCATTACTATATCCTCAGAACTATGTATTTACTTGTTTTATCAGTTATATTTTAGTTACCATAATATATACCTTTGCCATAATATGTCTTTTGGCCAGATATAATGGTAATTTTTATGAACAATATTGTTATTCTTAAGAGACTTTGTCCAAGAATAAAGATGATTTTCTGTTTCTATTTCTTCATTGATTTTTGATTTTCTTATAAATATGCTGTTGAAATATAATATTCCTTTTTTATCGTCTAGACATTGTGGGAAAGCTAGTAAAATTAGCATTTTTTAAAATAACGTCTTTTTTTGTTTATGATTTCTTGCCTTTTTATTATTTTCAAACCCCAGGCTAGATACTTATCCTTTTTATCAGTATGGCTTCAGACATCGGTTCATCGATTTTATCGGTCTGTACTTCCTCTAGCAGTTTTCCAGCATTTATCTCTTTCTCATGAATTTCCTTATCGCTGGAATAGCCTCCATATCTCCAGCAGCACCTGCCATGGAATGAAAATATTCTTCATTATTTTCCATGTGAAAGTTTTATTTAGTTGTATTTACATATAATGAATTTATAATTAATATTTTATATATTCTTAATATATAAATAAATGAAGAGTGCGCCGAAAATATTCGCTATAGAGTGTTGTTAACAGCAATCATTTTGAAATGTAAGGCCCAATCTCCCCTGAAAGGTTAAATCGAACGGCAGTTAACAAGCTACCACTCACGGGGGTTATATCAATTTGCAGCCTTTTAAGTCCTCTTCTCTGCCTCGCCACTTTAAATATTGTTTTATTTATTTGATGTATTTTTCAAATATACTCAAAATTGTTAAAATTAATTGATTCAATCAAAATCAAAAATTGTTTTATTTACATGTATATACAACATAATAAGTTTTAATAATGGTTACATACTTAGGCAACATTACCTTACACATGTTACAATGAAATAGTGTGATTGCTTTTTTTTTTCATGCAGAAATATATTTTGTACAGTACGAAAAATAATTAATTGATTATTTTAAGCTGAAATCCCAAGTTTGTTGTATAATTATTTGTTCGAAGCTCTCTGAGTCGAGCCTAAACCAAGTTTTCAGGAAAAGAGCCTGGCTTACTTCCTAACTTTCGAAGAACTAAAACAATTGATTTTTGGAGTTACTTCTAAAGCTTTTTTTTTAAATTTATTTATTTAGAAATATAATAATCTGTAACGTGTACAATAATTATAATGAGATATGAACACATTTGCATCATATATATAGAAAATATAAAATTAAAATAATAAATAAATAATAATCAAACTACTAAGTACAATAAAAATAAAATAACCTAAAGGTAATTAAATTAAAAACTCAGCCATACCTATATACAATATATACAATCAGGTAGGGAACCCCAAGCCAGGCTTGTACCTCTAAGTATAGAGGGGAAAGCAGGACTCCAAGATATCTCTACGCTACTCTCTCGTTATACTATTAGTAGATATTCCCCACATCAACTCAAACAGGATATTCTTCTCAAGTACTAAACCCTCTGCATTTTGAGCTTTGTATTTGTATCAGTACCCAATTTTAGAACCACATAGGCTGTGATTAATCGGTTATTCCTTCTTAACATGATCAACTCATTTAAGCTAATGACTTTAATAAAATTTCCTTTTTTTTTCTTCTTTACTTTCTAAATTGAACATCACAAATAAACAGGAAAATCATCCGTACTTCTTAGCATTGAAAGAATATCACGGTTGTCAGAGAGATCAAAAACAAATAAACTATATTTTTTGTTTAGGAATATATTTTGAAAAGTATCATACAGTTTCTTCTAAAGAGCCAACTCATCGATTTGGGAAATACTTCGATACTTTATTAATTTTAAGTTCTGTATTGAAAATGTATTTTATAAATATGTAAGTAATATTTTATAAAATATTAACCCAAACAGTTACCACTTCTTCAGTATTCGTCTTTCTATATTCCCTTCTAGCTCCATAACTCCACCCCCTTTTCTCAGAACTTGTTTCAGGCTACCATCTAATTATAAATAACTTCTAATTATAGCGTGAATACTGCACACATTCAATAGATATCTTACCTTGAAACAAAGTTCTTTAAATTATTTTAAAATACAGTATTAAAAATACCATGTAATTGTAAAGTACAATGTATTTTAATTACAAAGTATTTAAATTGTTCTCGGAAAATGAATTTAAAAGTATACTAAAATTATTTCGTATTTTAATTCTAAAAAAAAAATGCAGTTTCCTTTCTGGTGGACGATCAGCAACTAATACATGAAACATAATTTATGTCGTCATTTATTTTATGTATTTAAAATACAAAATAAAATAGATTTTAGTATTTTAGTATATCTTCGAAACAAAATATTTATTTGTATGTTACATTTAAAAATGAAAATGAAGTTCCAAACAAAGTATTTTATATTTGTTTTTATTAAAATAAAATAGAAAAATATTTTATTTTGTATTTTAAAATAATTTATTTGAAATACTGTTCAAGTCTGGTTGACTTATTTTTAGCACATGTGAAAAGTGTGTTAAGTGCAATTTTGTGAATTTCTGTGGGTATCAGAAACCTAATTTCTCTTTCTTTATGTATAATGGGCTAAGTTATACGGATATTATAGAGATGAACATCCCTTTGTGAACTATGGGTTGAAACGGGAAAATTGTGTTTTTCCATAAATATGGTTTTTTCTCTTAACACACTATGCATAGATGCCATAAATATATATATGTAAAAAAAAATGTTTATATATAAATATATCTATTTTTTTAGTTCGCTTATCAAGAAATAAAGAAGAACCTTAAACCTACGATTTCTATATCTACTTAAATTAAATCTAATAGTTAGATAGACTCGTCGGTTTATTGAATTTTCTATCTATGAAATCAGAAAAATGTGCACTTATTATGTCTATTTTACATATTTATAAATAAGACCGAAATTCACCAAAATATATAATAAGTTTAACTTCATCAAAAATATACGTTACGGCTTATTTCACTAAACCGGCGATATGCTTACTTACTGAAACTAGTGTTGAAACCCAAGTGCGAGATCGAGATGAGTCTTGGTCTTGCAAACTCAATCTTGGTCATGGTCTTGGTCTTGCGCAAGGGTTTCGCAACAGTCTTGCAGTTACTTATTAGCTTATTACTATAGAGATATTACTGTATTTTTTTAGATAGGAGAAACCTAACTAAAACCGAATGAAAAATTAGAGGAGTTAAATGCAAAAGTATATTGGTCATACCAATTATTAACATATAGTAACTAAGATTGTCATGTATTAGTAACTATTTTGGCTAAATATTCATTTAAAAAATCCATTTTTTTTTTACCAGTCCTGGTCTTGGTCTTGCAACAGTTAGGCGGCCTTGGTCTTGTTCTTGCATAGCGCAAGACCAAAACCGATTTTGGGCAACACTAACTGAAACCTATTTAGACTTATCACATATATGAGAGACAACCAAAAATACTCATATTAGTTCATTTAAGCTTTCTTATATTAGTGGTAACAACATTCAGAAGAATAAAGGAAGGAGATGGTACTCTAACAGTTCTAAGTGAAACCCCTAGCTGAATACACCTCCCTGAAGAAGACTTGCAAAGTCGGGTCGAACGTTGGCTTTTAATAAAATAGTTTTGCCACTATTTAGCCTATTTATGACCTCCACCTCGGACCATCTCCTTCCTTTATAATGCAACGGTCAACTATTAAATATTCAATTAAGAAGAATAACAAAATGACTCGGACGCATTATCAGATCTTTTCTTACTGACCTTAACCTCTTGTTTGTCAGCATACACATTCACTATAATGGTTTTATGACAAATTACTTGGCCGCCTTAACACACTGATAAATCAGATGGCCACAAGATTCATGTCAAGGATGAAAAGGAGTTGAATAAGGGACCTTCTTGTTTAAAAATTAAAGTTAATATTAGACTGTATGTATTGTATATAGGTATGACTGCGTTTTTATGTTTTTTTAATTTACTTATCTTTAGGTTATTTTTTTTTATTGTACATAGTTTTTGATTATTGTTTTCTTTTATTAATTTTATATTTTCTGTATATATGGTGTGAATGTGTTTATGTATCACTATATACTATTGTTCACGTGACAGATTGTTATAATTCTTAATAAAAAAAAAAATATTAGACTAGGAGGAGGATCAGGTTCCTCCTCCTAGTCTAATATATATATATTTTTTTTTATTAAGAATTATAACATATTCCTTGGTTGTCATAATAATCATTGAGGGGTGTATATGTGTCCGGATGGAGGGTGGATAAGCGGGGAAGTGTTTGCCAAATCATGCCGTGCCTGGCAACCTAATAAACTGAAGATGATATGATTAAATAATCACGAGTTCGCGTACCGGTGCCGGGGGAGCTTTTTAGTATAAATCCCCGTTCCTCTCCCCTGGCCCAAGGAAAAAACATATATCCGAAGGGCTATTAAGGGAAGAACAAAAAAAAGTATGAATAAAGATTTGAAATAATTTTTTCTTCCTTATCATGAGGATCACACTTATATGATTATTTTTTCTGCTCCAGGTCCTGCCGGGCCTATACGTGGGTAACTTCAGAGATTCGAAAGATTGCACGCAGCTGGACAGGTTCAAGATATCGCACATCGTTGCCATCCATGACGCTGCCAGGAGGCTTCACCCGGTCAGTATAGAGCTACTGTACTTTCAAGTATAATTCTAAATACAGGTAGTTTACCACTACTGTTGAAGTTATTGAAACTTAAAAATTGGTATTTTTTTTACTTCTCTATCCTTTTCTAATAAACTATTTGTCCAGCGAAGTTAACCTTAGCGTTCTATTAAGTGCAGATAAAATGTTATTTTCTTCATATGTTGTTTTTTGCTTGTTCTTATCTTTAACATGATGGCTCACTCATTAAATTTGATGAAGTATTAAAGAATATATGGCGTACCGACAGAAAACCACCTAGGTAGTAATATATAAGTATTTTGTATCAGATTTATCTATTTATGTTTAAATAAAAAAGGTTATCAGAATAAATTTTAAAAAGTATTTCACTGTAGAGCGGTCAAAAATAGGAATGCGGTTAAATTAAATACTATATACTATAACAGTAATTTTTCGGTTATGCCAACGTTTTGACCCTCTTTGTAGGTCTTTATCAGGGCTACAAAAGAAACAAATCATAAAAGATACAAAGTAAAAATAAAATAAATGAGTTATTAGTAAATATTAAGCAAGTAACAGTTGTCTGATAAGGAAATTAAAGAACTTATAAGATGGTATCAATGATGTAGTGGGTTATAGTATAGTTAAAATATAAAGTATTATATATTTATATAAAATATATACATGCGACCTTGAATATTTGAGTTATGAAATTATTTGCATTCCACAAACAAAAATTATACCCCCATCTGACTTTGTTTATCTACCTTTGCTATCTTAAAAGCACATCTGGAAAATAATCCACTGCCTCTTTTACTTACCTTACAAAGAGCCAGAGTACTTGAATACCTTCAGTGTTAGAAACACGGTTAGTATGAGTAAATATTACATTTCATATAAATTGATTATATACATTTTTTTTTAGTTTGTATAACTTATTACATATTTCATTTGTGTATTTCATGTATCATCCATCACGATTTTTTCATTATTTGGTTTTATCAAAGGCTTTGTGCATATCGAAGAAAACAGACAAAGGCATACTGTAATTCAGCCTCCAGTTGGACTGTTGTCGATCTCCCTTTGCGAAATCCACATTGGAAGTTTTGAATCGGCTGGTATTTTTCTAGGATCCACGTGAGCCTCTTATTCACCATTCGCCCTATTACTTTACATAGGCAGCTGGTCAGAAAAACAAGCAGGGCCGCATCATTAATTTAACAGAAAAATAGAGAGTCATTTCTACTGTTATCAACGTCTAAAAAAGTATTGAAGGTAAACCACCATTAAAGATTTATACAGTATAATGGTCATAGGGTATTGTGACAATATTTATACTGTCCACTTATGGCTCGATTGACAACTGAGAACAATACATGCTGTTCTCATCTTCACTTCGGTCAACCGTCCGGACACTATCAGTCGGCATAGCGTATATTAACCGTATAGGATTTCGTTTGCCAATTAGATTAACAATTTTACACATTTATGTTATTCGCCGCAAAGTTGGCGTAATTATACACATATATATATATATATATATATTATATATATATATATATATATATAATATATATATATATATATATATATATATATAATTACATTTTTTTTTTTTTTTTGACTTCAAGATTTTAATCAAAATTCTATTTTGTCAGAAATTTATGTTTTGTCAAACATTAAAGCCAAAAAATGTTTGTTCTTATGAACTTTCTAAGTTGATTGTGTACTTCACGAACTTTCTCTTTTATTATTTCAGTAATATTGAGTGTCAACCCTTCGATATATTTCCTCCTATCGTTGCTTACATTATATCGCTAGATGTAGTGGATCTTCGACTTCGTCACATAGCTCACACTTTGTTGTCTACCTTCTTTTTATATCAAGTTTAAGAATCAACTATATTCACCGGTACGATTCACGACGGTATTAGCTAGCGGTCTAACGGGTGTGCAAAACACGCTTTGCACGACAACCTGATAAACTAATCTAAACTAATAAACTAATGATAAAATAATCAGGATTTTATGTCCCGGTGCTGAGAGGACGTTTAGCTCTGACATTAATCCTTCGCTTTTATAGTATAATTATTTTTTACTTTTACTCCGCCCTCACACACTAAATAATTACAACTATTTCCTGTCATCATTATAACCTTGTTTTGATTTCTTAACCTGTCTTGTATTTTCCATACCGCAATTGAATGTTGAAAGCATTACAATTTGAAGAATATAAATGATCAATTTAATGAAAGTGTCGTTTTCTCAATTTTCTTTTGTTGTCACCATTATTTTAACTAATATTACTTTTTTTATTCTTGGTGCGATAAGTTAATTTGAAGCAGTATTTATAATTTTTGTTTTGTAGTTGTCAGCTGACATCCTTTCGATATCGCCATCAAGTGTTGCTGTCATGTTTTTCATTTTCTATCGTCGAACCATCACAAAAGAGAAGCATTTTTAAGTAAATATTTGATCAGCTGCCCGTTTCCCCTACCTAATGACCAAATAAACCCAAGGTCGATATCTATCCATTACTTCTTTATTTCATATCGATACATTCATTTCACTTAGCTGGACAAAGAGAAGGCTATTATTCATTATGTGGTACGAATGATGATTTAAGGACACTCTTTGGTAAAGAAACTAATTTATTCCACTGCCATATTGAATAGGAGATTTAATAACAAGTTTTAATAATAGGGTGTATTAAAAAAAATGACCGTTTTAATAAATTCAAGATTTTAAAAAACTGTAAATATTTTAATCCTGTTTAATACTTACCAATACTTAATAATCAATTTAGAGCATTTTCTAAAATTGTTAATTCTCATTCGACTTTTAAAAAAAAAATACTCACTTTAGTTATTTGTTTCAAAGAACAAACATGCCAGTGCTCTACGAAATTCTCTTAACTTTAAGGCATTACTGGAAAATTGTTTTTACAACAGCTGAAACAACTTGTGAAATTATTAAATATGAAGGGGAAGATGTCCTTGACCAGCGCACTGCTTTGATGGTTTGAGAAATTTAGCAGTTGAGACATGACGTTAGAAACGAAGAAGGGCTTAAGGATATTGAATAGGTTCTGCACGAAGCTGTTGAGTCAAATCTGTCCACAAATACTCTCAAACTTGCTAGATATTGTGATGTGTCGAATAATACTGTTAGTCGTCATCTACTTTTCATGGATAAGTTGAAAAAGAGCACTATGGAGCAGAATGGTCCATCAGGAAATTATTCCTCAGCAATCAGCTAAGAGATTAGAAATTTCTGAACATTTATTGAAACACCCTTCCCTGAAAAACTGCCTCATCCACCATATAGTCCAGACCTCGCAACATCGGATTAATACTTATTTGGATCCATGGCCCATTTTCTTCAAGGGAAAAAAATTGATAATTTTCGAAGTTGAAATTGCGGTCTAAGGGTTCTTTGACAGTCAAGAATAGTATCAGCGTGGGTTTGAGCAATTGGCTAGCAGATGGCTAATGACCTTAGATAACAATATTTGGTTGAAAAACGTCCATTTTTGTTTTTTTATACACTCTGTTATAATCTCAATAAAATAAGATTTGTGAATTATTTTACTTAAATAGACAATTTTTCTAAAAATTCTATAAAAAAATTTCTTTTACTCTTTATTTTGTTTGTATAGCTATGAATAATTATGGAAACAGGAAGCGTTAATGTTACTTTAATAACTGAAATCAGATTTTAGCGTTTTTATGATGCGGAGGAATAGTATATATAACATAAAGAGATCTATTTCAACATTTAAAGCACATCTTTATATTGTTTTATTTTGTTTCCTTTACAAAAGGTTCTGGATTGAGGAAGTGAATAAATTTTATTTTCATCAGGATTTTTTTAACTTACTTTTTACACTTTTATCTTAGAAAAAAGGACGTCTGTACTTAATATATTGTAATATCTCTCAATAAATAAGTTTAAAAAAAAAAGTATTACTTTTTAGACATGATGAAATAAATTCGGTTATGTAATACGTCAGTAATCAAATCCTTGTAATGGATCCTACATGGGTATATACTATTTAACATATTTTTAAGAAATTATTAGGTTGATTGTGGTGGTTGTTACTTATGGTCTCATAGGCAATTTGTCTACTACTATTACTTACTCCTGAGTAAACGTATGTTTCTTGACTCAACAACGAATTTTGGAAGAGCTACTTATATATTTTTTCTTTGTTCTACAATTTCTTCATTATTCTAAAGTGGTTATTTATTAAGAATAATGAACCGTTGGAGAAATAGTTGGTTGATAGATAAAATTTAATTTTCATTATAGAAATATCCATCATGTCAGTTGGGATTCTCGACTCCCTTTTTTCTCGAGTGAATCGTTTTGTAACCTACTTGCTCTCTTGAGACTAGGTGTGATGTATTATTCTATAGAGAAATGAGCAGTGAGAGCAGTTATTGTCCTGTCGAGCGGTGCTATCTGAAAGATGAATCAGCTAATAAAGGTCTTTCCTTTTTACGATAACTATGGAGGATGTTTTTGATATTTCACTAGCCAAGTCAAACATAATATCTCTTATGTGGTTTTCAATGTTCCATTCTATCCTTTATTAAGAACTCACTGGTCCAACCTCTTGATGATAACTAAAATAACTCCCTTCAAGATGTCCATAACTGGTATTGAAACATTGTTTTTATTTAGGAATAGATAAAATATATTACAGTTTTTCTATTCATACCATACTTACAGAACAATCTGCCGTTGTTACAGCTCTAATTGCTGATTCGAAGACAATAGTTCTCTTCTGTCAGAACAGTCGACAATATGTGGACAGACAGATTTTAGGGAAATTGGAATGACATTCACCATGATTAATACCAATACTAATAATGTATGAATTGTAATGAATACTTAATGAACCAATGCAATAGAAAGTAGGGATTGTAATATTGTTGTTCAATTATAACAATTATCTGGAGAAGGGAAGTTTTTTTTATGAAACTAATTTTATATTGCTTTTGGCTGAGACTGCAAACGATTGTAAAAGCAGTGGCTTTGCTCCTTCGGGTTTTTTATCTGTTTGGTTCGATTTATATTGACTTCTATTCATTTATCGTCAATTACATGTATTATTAATCATCTGGCCTTGAATATATCGTCGGCATCATGTCAAAGTAGTGAATGTGAATCAGCTCGATCTAAACTTTCGATTATGATTAATCGATTCTACAACATGTACATATCTAACAATGCCATAAATTCGTAAAAATTACCTTACTGATACCAATCGTCCCTTTGCTGTTTTTTTTTCCCACAAGTTGGCTGCTCCATGCTCTTTATTTTAACACGGTACCGACGATATGTCGAAACCTCTTAAACATTGACTGTATGTACAATCAGATGTTTTCGAGGGAAAAAACATCCTATTCTGTTGTTACAAACAGAACATGTTTCTCGCATTCATTTTATTCAGTTTCCTATCATTCCCCTACATCCCACAATACAAAGTTGTCTCCAATAAATAGAGCTATTGGACAATCACAGCTTGCAGACAACTATTTCAATGCAGCTTTGTGTAGCCGAAGTTCCACTCTGCTTGACAATCAGTTCAGTAGTTCGCTCGACGGTCGATACCCTTGTAAGTTAGACAGCTGCAAAACAGTCTCCTCTTGGTTAGCTTGCTGTCCAAAGGAGTTACGGACCTAGAAAAACTTTCCATTCGATTCATTTTCATCCTTAGCAAAGAAAACAAAGTAGTACTTAGTAAAACAATTTGGTAGAAGTATAACAAAATTATTAATTTATTTACACTCTTTTCGTACGTGTATTTATTCCAAAGTGCAATAATTCTGTATTTCACCACATCTGTTTTACTTTTTGTACCGTTGTCTTTTATGCAACCTTATTTTTTGTCAAGTATACTGTGTAATATTGAATTGTGTCCTTTGGCTGCTGTAGTTATCATTTGCAGTGTAGTTTGAAGTCGAATTCTATATTTTATTATTAATATTAACGGTTCTTAAAAATTGCAGAAGTCTTAAATAGAATAGAAAACAAACGTCACACCTGTTAAGAATTTAAAAAAAATGTATAAATAAATAGAAAACTTTTTTTTTCTATTGACATTATCTTTTACAACTTTAGCCATTTTTGCCTTCATTGCAATATTTCCAGTTGAATCTTTGTTGATTCTATCTACCCATCTGCTTTTTTTGGCCTTCAACGTTGTCTCTTGTCTGCTATTGAGAGATTAATTGTTATATATAGGCTTTCTAATGGATTGCTCCGGGCTACATGGCCCTAATGTCTTATCATTAGATATTGATTGACCCGTTATTTATTTGCTCTGTTCCTTCATGTGTCAGGAATCTGATCCCAGATCTCTCCGGTTTTATTGTGGAAAATTTTCCCCTCAAATATTTCACACATCTTTCTAGGGTTCTTGTTATTGCCCAGGTCTTTGCCCAATGTTGCCCAAATCCGAGACCGAGAGGAATCTTGGTCTTGCGCAAGATGGTCTTGGTCTCGCAACAGTCTTGGTGTTACTTATTAGTTTATTACTATAGAGATATTACTGTAATTTTGTTAGATAGGAGAGACCTAACTAAGCCAGAATGAAAAATTAGAAGAGTTTAATGCGAAAGTACATTGGTTATACCAATTATTAACATATAGTAACTAAGATTGTCAAGTATTGGTAACTATTTTGTCTTAATTTTTATTTAAAAAATCGATTTTTTGACCAGTCCTGGTCTTGGTCTTGCAACAGTTAGGCGGCCTTGCTCTAGGTCTCGCAAAGTGTCCTACCAAGACCGATTTTGGGCAACGCTATCTTTGGCCGATATGTCTGATTTTTAATAGGTCAGAAGCTGACTTTATCATATTATGCACACTTAATTATTAGAAAATACAACTAAAAATTACAACGTTTTATATTATATTACAAAAAAGTAAATTAAATTAAAGAAAGAAGAAAGAGAGGGATCAAAATAAAATTAAATTTAAAAATTTAAAGTGAAATTTAATCTTGAATTAAAATTTCGTTTGGGAGAGCATCTTTTTGGGATGTTAGAAAGTTATGAAAAAGAGGAAATTAAAAAGAGTATTGGAAAGAAGCATGGCGTATATTAAATGATAAGAAATTTCAGGAGGCAGACGAGGAGTTAAGAAAGGAACGTTCGAAGGTTTTGGTTTTGTAGGAAGGGGTGTAAAGATCGGAAACATGAGCTTATTAGGATGGTCCAAGGGTTTGAATTGCAGGATCTTTGAGAAGGAAGGATGAGTAAATAGTTTGGTATAGGAAAGATCTCAAGAAATATTGTCGACAGGAGTGGAGGGGCCATTTTAACTTACCTTAAAGGTATGCTAAATGATATCACCTTGAGTACCGAATACAAATCTTAGGGAAAAATTCCTGAGGCCCGCATATATCTAACAACCGTAGTCAAGTGGAGAAAAATAAGTGAGCTGTATGGAAGACTTTTTATTGATTTTTTTTTTTTTGTCCTCTCTTAACATATGCTGGATATCCATGGAATTTATGTGTGACTCGTGAGCTATATTCTTAGTTTATTTAATAAAGTTAAATAAACTCTCCCATACACTCCCACAGTACGAATACGTTGGTAATACTTCTTTTTTGATCAGATGTTCATGAATTAGTCGCGAAGGGTCTATTCTGAGACGGCTTAAACCACCTCTTTCTCTCCATGTCAACTTCAAAATTTTAATCCATTACCATAGAATCAATTTTAATCCAACCTTCCATAATTACACTGTTAAACTAGTTATTTCTTAATCCAGTTGCCATATTAAATCAAGTCATGGTACGCATGATAATTTGTTACTCTCTAAAGTGTCTTTGACTTATTTTTTGTTATTTTACGGTCGCTCTTTGAAGTGCTTTATTGGTAGCCCATATGTCTTTTAATACTCTAATTGCACTACAATTTAACGAATGGTACTACATGTGTGTCATTTTATTGGTTTCTACCACCGTTTTGACAATTAGTTAAACAGATTATAATATTTAATAAATTAAAAAAAAAAAACCAAATACCACCTTACTTGTGAATTTTTTTTCTCAGCTTTGTGCTTTCGGAAAATAGAGCCTTAAGAAATATACAAATTAGAGACTATTTTACTGGATTGGTAAGTTAAATGTTAAGATCATCAACAGAGTTTATACATTGAGATGATTTAATTATTGTAGTACATTATACAATGAGTTTATCTAATCATTGTTATTGTTGTTGTTGCAGGATAAGCAGTACCTGTGCGTGATGGCCTCCGACACCCCGGACCAGAATCTCGTCCAATATTTTCCGATTTGCAATGACTTCATCCATGCCGCCCGCCTTCGCGGTGGAAACGTCCTCATTCACTGGTAAGTAAGCACTTTAATCAGTATTGAATCAGTATGTAAGAAAAAATATAAAAATTTCCTCATCAGTGAATGATACTCAACAGATTATTAAGTACAAGGTATATTGGGAAAATTTCCAGCCTTAAGCCTTTAAAATGCATGTAAACAATTAAACCGTCAACGGTTCGCCAATTAAAGTTTCATCAGGACAAATACAACTTAAATTATATATATGCAGATCATACAGGCTGTGTTTGAGACCATCAGCTGATTCTCGTAAATTCATTATATTATATTCCACGTAGCTCATTGAAATACCCGTTATAAAATCATAAATTTCACATAGAAATGATTTTTACTTTCACTTCCCTATAGTAAGGGTAAGTATTGCGATCGTGAACATTTTTTAATCTGAATTTACAACGAAAATACACGTTTTGAGGTCCCCTGAGTCCAAATTATCAAGTTTCGCAAAATAGTCTGTGTGTCTGTGTATATGTGAATAATCTAACTCAAAAACGAAAATTCGTACGAAACTGATATTACGTATTTAAGATAGGTATATGCCTTAGATGTGACAGCAACTTTTACCTTAAAATCGGCTAACCGTACCACTTTATATCGACAGTGAAATACATCTTTACTATTTTATCAAAAACGGCTCTAACGATTTTGATTAAACTCGGTGTATCATTGTATAATTAAGTGGTCCTTAATATCAGTTAGGTTTTATCCCGATTGATGTCACTTTACACGGCTTGAATGCCCAATTTTCATATTTAATTTGGTTTATTTTAAAATATTAACTCTCTTTTATTGACAGTAACTATAAAAAATGGCTAAATATGAAGTTTGAAATGATATAACAATTGGAAACTGGAGAAAAAAAGAAAAATGCTTATTCAGGTTGAAAATGACTCTCCGGAGCATATATCGTTGGAAAACGAAAAAATTTGGAAAAAATTATATCAAATAAATAAAGTTGTAGAAGGTAGCTGAGACTGACGAAAAAAATATAAATAATAATTTCTGAAAACTAACATTATTTAACGTAAATGTTTTCAAGGAAATTAAATGAAATTTTCTTTCTAAATGTAAACTTTTAAAATGTTTTTAAGTTTGATAAAAAGTATTTAAAATCCACGGAATCAAGGTAATAACATGGTTTAAGATACTATTTCATTGTACTTGTGTAAAAGAAGAAGTGAAATGTAAAAATAGTTTATGGATATGTTTCAACCTTAATTATATTTACTGTAGTTTAATAACTCTAGATCTAATATTATATTTACATAATTAGGCATCTATCATCCGTTTATTTCGAGAAATCATCATGTAAACTTTTAGAAAATTAAATTAGTGAATAATTAGAAGAATTTTCCCTTTTGTGAAATCACAACATTATCCACTTACAATTTGTGTGACAGCTTTTGACCTATCTGTGACAGGCAATACCCATATCGTAATTCCATTTTAGTAAACCTCGCTATGGAAAATAATAGTTTAATATATAATAGTCGTACAATTCATAATCAACCACTGATATAATAAGTAGAATCTTCGTTATTTTTATGGCATTTGTGATTTGTTAGTTGTAAGCTGTAAGCTTTAGCTCGGTAAAAGTGCACTTCAAAAATTTTGTAATAGCCCAACATTACCAGAAAATAATTTCTATTTAAAGTATAGCGCTAAGTGAAAGTTATGTGTTGCGGGCACCAGATTTGTTTTTTATGTGTTTTTACTAAAAAAGAAAAATCGCTAAGCTTGACCGGTTTCTTTGGATATTTAGACTTGACTGTTGATGTATGGCCCAGACTATCGCAAAATGGGCTATATTTTTTCCCTGAAACTTGAAAGTGTAATCATAGGTCTCAGCCGCAGCAACTTGGCACAGTTTCAACGTTGCGCTTTGTTTACCAACGGTTTCGAAAGCTTAAGTTACTTTAATTTACCAATCACTATGAAGCCCAATAAAATAGCAATTGCGTTTGTAACAAATGTGAAACATTATTAGCAACGACTTAATTCAAACTGATTGTTCTAGGAATTCTCAATATTTGTTTATCTCATTTCTGATTGGCTCTCTTCCAAAGTGACTTAAATTACTCCAGACATAAGTACTTAGAGTTAAATAATTATGACTAACTTATCAATGTTTGAAGTATCTGTGGTTCGGAGATAAAGGACATCTTTTATTAGAAAAAAATGTATTAGATCCCCAAACAAATGCAAAATTTGACATGGTATCCTTTAAGTCCGGAGTGAAGATTTAGTAACAAAGAAAATTTTTTAATAATTCATAGTTATATGACATTCGCTCCCGTGAACAAACACAAAAATGGACTCGGTGTTGTTTACCTCCAGTGTACAGATATATTGTTAGAGAAAGCATTGAAATCGTAAAATAAAAAGTGAATTAGAGGCCAAAGACCTAATTATCCATTTTTTTAGACTTCTATATGTATGTATTTGTCGCTGTGTATTTGACAGCTTAGCTTAAAAAATGTCGTACGAAACTGAAATCACCTATTTAAGATATGAATATGCCTGGAATGTTACAGCAACTATTTCTCTAAAATCGATTTACCGGGTTCGCCAATGTACATAATTGATATTACAAATGTTCACAATTTTCTCGAAAAGAGCTCTGTCTATTTAGATTAAACTCATTATACCAATGTACAATGAATTGGTTTTTAATATCAGATAGTTCTTGTCCTCATTGTTATAGTCTGATAGGCATACAAATTTAACATTGAATATTTTTAATAATTAATAATTCCTTGTGCTTAGTAACAGCAAAGAATAGTTGAATCTATAAATAAAAAAATCGATAACTATTAAAAGATGAAACATTTTCCCAAGTTGAAAAGAAATTTAGGAGACGCCGCTATGAATCCATCATATCATATCAAAAATCATCAGGTTTGTCTGCATTTCCGTTCGAATTTTGTGCCAAAGTGGTCTACGTTAGAGATTTTTATAATTCATAAATAAATATTTCCATATCTAATAATAACTTTCATATTTTCATACTTGTATATTATCTGCAATATTTATTCATTCTATATATTTTCGTACTTTGGGAATCTATCCACCCTAAATACTGCCAAGACTAAAAGAATATGCATCGGAGTGGAATTAAAAAAATAAAACAATATATAAAAATATTACAGTTTCATAATATTACTATTCTATTATGTGTATATATATATATATATATATATATATATATAAGATAAAGACCGGAGACTGGCGATATCAGCCTTAATACCATCTTGTAATGTAAATAAACATAGCAATTGTATATAAGGCAGATTATTGAACGAATAAAGCAGTGTTTATTCAGAAGCCGTGAGTACTGTTTCTCGTTCCTCTTTCCTTCTTTTTTTTTATTTACAAAGCCCGGAGACGCTTAACTGGTGCCGAAACCCGGGAGAACGTCAGGAGAACACGGAAGTAAAATTTTTTTTTCTCTTCTTTCTTTCTTTTAATTTTTTCTTCTCTTCTCCTAGTCATAAGGAAAAGACGAGATGCCGACAGAGGGCATAATTCGACCAGGAGTGTTGAACGCACCTGAAATGCCGCAACCTCAGGAAATGCCGATAGCGCAGATTCCGCAGATCGCCCCTCAGGTTCCGCAGATTCCGCAGATACCTCAGATACCTCAAGTACCGCAGATACAAGAGATCCCTCCCTTATCTAGGGACACGTTGGCAGAGGCGCACGCCAATGCATTGGAGTGGATGAAGATAAGGGCAGCGACCACGCAGGATCTACGGAGAGCAATCGCAGACCTGGAGCGATTCGGGGGCGAGATAGGTGAACTTAATCACTTCTTGAAAGGTGGAGACCGCCTCATATCAAGAATCGAAGCAAAGGTGGCGGAGGACCTCGTGAACCTGGGAGACGCAGAAGCACTGAAGGCAGCTCTCGTGTGCCGAGTGAGGAGGAACATCCTCAACCAAATCCAAGCGGACGAGGAGACACCATGGCCAGTGATTAAGGAGCGTTTGAAGAAGGCTTTCGGAGGGGGCCGATGGACGCCGGAAGAAGATATCTTCCAAATGTTTAGGGAGTGTCGGTCCCAACGCCAAACAAGAGGACAGTATGCGGGGGTACTAGTGGCGAAGTACAACCGCATAACTGAGAAAATGCGTGAAACCATGAGTGTGGGAGAGGTTGAAGCTAGGATGGAATTCCTTTCGACAATACTCAAGGTTCAGTTAGCTAAGGAGACTGGGAGAAGGGACGGACTGCCTAGAGAGCGATCGTTCCTCGAGTGTGCCCAAGAAATGATAGATCTGAGTGCAAGAGAGGAAGAGACGCGGATGGAAGTAGAAGAACCAGGGTGGACCCGAGTGAGTGACAGACGACCCCGGACAGCCCAGATAGGGTGGAGGAAGAGGGAAATGAAACACCCGAACGGAGAAAAAGCCACGACGGGCGAGAGAAGATCCGGACAGTCCAGGCCTAGGAATGGACCCCGGAGGGAAGACAGAAAATGTCACGGGTGCGGGAAACCGGGACATTTGGTAGCACAATGTCCGCGCACTAGATGTTTCGAGTGCGGGACTGAAGGGCATATTGCCAGACAGTGCCCGTACATGTTTCGCAGGAGAGAGAGACCTCTAGACGAGCCAATGGAGGTGAACGCTCAAAAGTTGAAAAAACGAGCTAGGATGCAGCAGAGAGACGGATCTTCGGAAGAGGCAACCGAGGAGTCGGGGACGTCGGGAACGGAGACTGACGAGCCAGCCAGCAGTGGAGGCGAAGGAGGCAGGAGCAGCCAACGGAGCGAGCAACGACGAGCGACGGCGGTAAGGAGGAAGCGAGGTGGCATCTGAGAAGGGTGTCAGCAGAGAGGCGACCGCACAGCAACCTGCAACAATATTAGAGGTAAGCCATGCTGGTTGCCGATTATTGAAGTAGACGGGGGAGTGAAGTGTCTCGTGGACACAGGGAGCTCGAGTACTATCTTGACTCGGGGGGCGTTGGGGAGAGTGTGCGGGAGCGAGAGG